CATGGGATGGCATAGCATGGATGGCATGAGATGACATGGTATGGCATGGTATGGCATAGCATGGATGGCATGAGATGACATGGTATGGCATGGGATGGCATAGCATGGATGGCATGAGATGACATGGTATGGCATGGTATGGCATAGCATGGATGGCATGAGATGACATGGTATGGCATGGTATGGCATAGCATGGATGGCATGAGATGACATGGTATGGCATGGTATGGCATAGCATGGATGGCATGAGATGACATGGTATGGCATGGTATGGCATAGCATGGATGGCATGAGATGACATGGTATGGCATGGTATGGCATAGCATGGATGGCATGAGATGACATGGTATGGCATGGGATGGCATAGCATGGATGGCATGAGATGACATGGTATGGCATGGTATGGCATAGCATGGATGGCATGAGATGACATGGTATGGCATGGGATGGCATAGCATGGATGGCATGAGATGACATGGTATGGCATGGTATGGCATAGCATGGATGGCATGAGATGACATGGTATGGCATGGGATGGCATAGCATGGATGGCATGAGATGACATGGTATGGCATGGTATGGCATAGCATGGATGGCATGAGATGACATGGTATGGCATGGTATGGCATAGCATGGATGGCATGAGATGACATGGTATGGCATGGTATGGCATAGCATGGATGGCATGAGATGACATGGTATGGCATGGTATGGCATAGCATGGATGGCATGAGATGACATGGTATGGCATGGTATGGCATAGCATGGATGGCATGAGATGACATGGTATGGCATGGGATGGCATAGCATGGATGGCATGAGATGACATGGTATGGCATGGTATGGCATAGCATGGATGGCATGAGATGAGATGGTATGGCATGGGATGGCATAGCATGGATGGCATGAGATGACATGGTATGGCATGGTATGGCATAGCATGGATGGCATGAGATGACATGGTATGGCATGGGATGGCATAGCATGGATGGCATGAGATGACATGGTATGGCATGGGATGGCATAGCATGGATGGCATGAGATGACATGGTATGGCATGGTATGGCATAGCATGGATGGCATGAGATGACATGGTATGGCATGGGATGGCATAGCATGGATGGCATGAGATGACATGGTATGGCATGGTATGGCATAGCATGGATGGCATGAGATGACATGGTATGGCATGGTATGGCATAGCATGGATGGCATGAGATGACATGGTATGGCATGGGATGGCATAGCATGGATGGCATGAGATGACATGGTATGGCATGGGATGGCATAGCATGGATGGCATGAGATGACATGGTATGGCATGGTATGGCATAGCATGGATGGCATGAGATGACATGGTATGGCATGGTATGGCATAGCATGGATGGCATGAGATGACATGGTATGGCATGGTATGGCATAGCATGGATGGCATGAGATGACATGGTATGGCATGGTATGGCATAGCATGGATGGCATGAGATGACATGGTATGGCATGGTATGGCATAGCATGGATGGCATGAGATGACATGGTATGGCATGGGATGGCATAGCATGGATGGCATGAGATGACATGGTATGGCATGGTATGGCATAGCATGGATGGCATGAGATGACATGGTATGGCATGGGATGGCATAGCATGGATGGCATGAGATGACATGGTATGGCATGGTATGGCATAGCATGGATGGCATGAGATGACATGGTATGGCATGGGATGGCATAGCATGGATGGCATGAGATGACATGGTATGGCATGGTATGGCATAGCATGGATGGCATGAGATGACATGGTATGGCATGGTATGGCATAGCATGGATGGCATGAGATGACATGGTATGGCATGGTATGGCATAGCATGGATGGCATGAGATGACATGGTATGGCATGGTATGGCATAGCATGGATGGCATGAGATGACATGGTATGGCATGGTATGGCATAGCATGGATGGCATGAGATGACATGGTATGGCATGGGATGGCATAGCATGGATGGCATGAGATGACATGGTATGGCATGGTATGGCATAGCATGGATGGCATGAGATGAGATGGTATGGCATGGGATGGCATAGCATGGATGGCATGAGATGACATGGTATGGCATGGTATGGCATAGCATGGATGGCATGAGATGACATGGTATGGCATGGGATGGCATAGCATGGATGGCATGAGATGACATGGTATGGCATGGGATGGCATAGCATGGATGGCATGAGATGACATGGTATGGCATGGTATGGCATAGCATGGATGGCATGAGATGACATGGTATGGCATGGGATGGCATAGCATGGATGGCATGAGATGACATGGTATGGCATGGTATGGCATAGCATGGATGGCATGAGATGACATGGTATGGCATGGTATGGCATAGCATGGATGGCATGAGATGACATGGTATGGCATGGGATGGCATAGCATGGATGGCATGAGATGACATGGTATGGCATGGGATGGCATAGCATGGATGGCATGAGATGACATGGTATGGCATGGTATGGCATAGCATGGATGGCATGAGATGACATGGTATGGCATGGTATGGCATAGCATGGATGGCATGAGATGACATGGTATGGCATGGTATGGCATAGCATGGATGGCATGAGATGACATGGTATGGCATGGTATGGCATAGCATGGATGGCATGAGATGACATGGTATGGCATGGTATGGCATAGCATGGATGGCATGAGATGACATGGTATGGCATGGGATGGCATAGCATGGATGGCATGAGATGACATGGTATGGCATGGTATGGCATAGCATGGATGGCATGAGATGACATGGTATGGCATGGGATGGCATAGCATGGATGGCATGAGATGACATGGTATGGCATGGTATGGCATAGCATGGATGGCATGAGATGACATGGTATGGCATGGGATGGCATAGCATGGATGGCATGAGATGACATGGTATGGCATGGTATGGCATAGCATGGATGGCATGAGATGACATGGTATGGCATGGTATGGCATAGCATGGATGGCATGAGATGACATGGTATGGCATGGTATGGCATAGCATGGATGGCATGAGATGACATGGTATGGCATGGTATGGCATAGCATGGATGGCATGAGATGACATGGTATGGCATGGGATGGCATAGCATGGATGGCATGAGATGACATGGTATGGCATGGTATGGCATAGCATGGATGTCATGAGATGACATGGTATGGCATGGGATGGCATAGCATGGATGGCATGAGATGACATGGTATGGCATGGTATGGCATAGCATGGATGGCATGAGATGACATGGTATGGCATGGTATGGCATAGCATGGATGGCATGAGATGACATGGTATGGCATGGTATGGCATAGCATGGATGGCATGAGATGACATGGTATGGCATGGTATGGCATAGCATGGATGGCATGAGATGACATGGTATGGCATGGTATGGCATAGCATGGATGGCATGAGATGACATGGTATGGCATGGTATGGCATAGCATGGATGGCATGAGATGACATGGTATGGCATGGGATGGCATAGCATGGATGGCATGAGATGACATGGTATGGCATGGTATGGCATAGCATGGACGGCATGAGATGACATGGTATGGCATGGTATGGCATAGCATGGATGGCATGAGATGACATGGTATGGCATGGGATGGCATAGCATGGATGGCATGAGATGACATGGTATGGCATGGTATGGCATAGCATGGATGGCATGAGATGACATGGTATGGCATGGTATGGCATAGCATGGATGGCATGAGATGACATGGTATGGCATGGTATGGCATAGCATGGATGGCATGAGATGACATGGTATGGCATGGGATGGCATAGCATGGATGGCATGAGATGACATGGTATGGCATGGTATGGCATAGCATGGATGGCATGAGATGACATGGTATGGCATGGGATGGCATAGCATGGATGGCATGAGATGACATGGTATGGCATGGGATGGCATAGCATGGATGGCATGAGATGACATGGTATGGCATGGTATGGCATAGCATGGATGGCATGAGATGACATGGTATGGCATGGTATGGCATAGCATGGATGGCATGAGATGACATGGTATGGCATGGGATGGCATAGCATGGATGGCATGAGATGACATGGTATGGCATGGTATGGCATAGCATGGATGGCATGAGATGATATGGTATGGCATGGGATGGCATAGCATGGATGGCATGAGATGACATGGTATGGCATGGGATGGCATAGCATGGATGGCATGAGATGACATGGTATGGCATGGTATGGCATAGCATGGATGGCATGAGATGACATGGTATGGCATGGTATGGCATAGCATGGATGGCATGAGATGACATGGTATGGCATGGTATGGCATAGCATGGATGGCATGAGATGACATGGTATGGCATGGTATGGCATAGCATGGATGGCATGAGATGACATGGTATGGCATGGGATGGCATAGCATGGATGGCATGAGATGACATGGTATGGCATGGGATGGCATAGCATGGATGGCATGAGATGACATGGTATGGCATGGTATGGCATAGCATGGATGGCATGAGATGACATGGTATGGCATGGTATGGCATAGCATGGATGGCATGAGATGACATGGTATGGCATGGTATGGCATAGCATGGATGGCATGAGATGACATGGTATGGCATGGGATGGCATAGCATGGATGGCATGAGATGACATGGTATGGCATGGGATGGCATAGCATGGATGGCATGAGATGACATGGTATGGCATGGGATGGCATAGCATGGATGGCATGAGATGACATGGTATGGCATGGGATGGCATGGCATGGATGGCATGAGATGACATGGTATGGCATGGGATGGCATGGCATGGATGGCATGAGATGACATGGTATGGCATGGTATGGCATAGCATGGATGGCATGAGATGACATGGTATGGCATGGGATGGCATAGCATGGATGGCATGAGATGACATGGTATGGCATGGGATGGCATGGCGTTATGGCATACCGAACAGCATTGGTGCCTGAAGCTCTTGTTGCTGTCATCCCCCCTGTAGTTGTGCGCACTCACACACATGGTAAGCCACGGATGGGGGAGGGAAGAGGGACACACGGGGGGAGGAGCAGACGAGCTGTGGCTGGGTGGCATTCTGCCCTACGCAGCATACGGCTGGTTTCAATTGTGGCGTTACATTGGTATTTTTTTGTGACTATGGTGCATTCCGAGCCTGCCACTCACCTATGGTGCATTCCGAGCCTGGGTCAACGGGGAAGAAGAGGCCCGAGTCGTGCAGATGGTGGTTGAGCTGCTGACGTGTCACCCCTGCCTGCACCCTGCAGTCCATGTCCTCTGCATGTACCTCCACCACCTGAAGACAAGAAGAACAAAAGAACACGGGGGTGCAGGATTATGTTATGAGCCGCCCGAAAGATTGACTGGCGTATCACCCGTGCCTGAATTCTGCATTCCATGTCCTCTGCATGCACCTCCACCACCTGAAGACAAAAGGGAATAGGACAAACCATTCCCAAGCCACAAAACTTTGAGGTGATTGAAAAAATGAGTGGAGTATCACCCTGCACTCTGCTCTCTCCATTCTCCACTCTCCACTCAGCATTTCGCACAACCACATCATCACCTGCTCGCCCATGCCTACCGTTACCTGGTAACCGCACCGTACCTCGTTCATCTTCGGCAGGTCAATGGAGACGCCCCCGCAGAGCGCCGCTACGTGGCCTTCCAGTGACGTGCCGGCGCCATAGGGAATGACAGACACCTTCTAAGGCGTCTCACAAGTTAACTGGTGGTAACCGCACCCATCGTACCTCGTTCATCTGTGACAGGTCAATGGAGACCCCCCCACAGAGTGCCGCCACGTGGCCTTCCAGAGACGTGCCGGCGCCATAGGGAATGACGGGCACGCGGGCGGCAGTGCACGCGGTTACCAGCTGTTGCACTTGGTGAGTGGAGCGGGGGAATGCAACTGCGTCTGGTGGCACAGCCTCGTGGTATGACTCGTCCCTGCCATGCTGCTCCAATACCTGCTGACATGGCAACATACATAGGGAATGACGGGCATACACGTGGGAACACATGCGGTTACCGGCTGTTACACGCGGGAACACATGCGGTTACCGGCTGTTACATGCGGGAACACATGCGGTTACCGGCTGTTACACGCGGCGCATCTGGTGGCACAGGCTCGAGGTACGACTCGTCCCTGCCATGCTGCTCCAACACCTGTTCGCATGCCAGCTTATCAGTATCCCAGCATGTCAACAACATATGTGATGATGATGCCATAATGCCATGCCATCATCTCACCATGCTAAGCCACCATACCATCATGCCGCGATTCACGCAACCCACGTACATTCCCCACGTAAATTCCCCAGGCAAATTCCCCACGTACATTCCCCACGTACATTCCCCACGTACATTCCCCACGTACATTCCCCACGCAACCCAGGTGCGTGTATTCCGATTATTCCCAAGTATTTTTCCATGATTCAAGCATCCCATGTATATTCCTAATATCCAAGCATCCATCCCACGTATTTTCCCGCTATTCAAGCATCCCACGTATATTCCCTTTTTTTAGGCATCCCACATTTATTCCCTTGATTCAAGCATTCCACAGTTACTCCCATTATTTAAGCAGCCAATGCTATTTAAGCATTCAAGCATCCCACGTTTTCAATGTTATTTAAGCATTCCAGGTAAAATCCAATTATTAAAGCATCTCACGTTTATTCCCAATATCCAAGCATTCCACGTAAATTTCTATCACTCAAGCATCCCCCATATGATCCCAATCCCACCGTTCGGTTCGACGTCACGTTTGAGTCGCCCACGATGGATCGCAAGCGACGCAGGAATTCGTCGTCCACTCGCCCGTACGACGTCCGTCGCACAGCAGGAACGTCGCGGAGGCTCCACTTCACAGGGTTGTCGTCAGATTTGATGATTCCGCATCGCCTGGAAGTCGCAGGAGACGCGTCGGTTTCCGGAGAATCTGCTACCCCTGCCGACGTCCGTCTTTGTTCGTCTGTTGCCGTTTCCGGGTCGCGACTCCCGTTCGCGACGCTACTACTACTGTAACTCCGTTTCGCATCGTGAAAGTAACGCCTTCGCCAACTCGCAACGGCGCCGCTACTATCGTCGCTTTTCCCAGCAGCACACGGGCCGTTTCGGCGACTCCTCCTAGCGTGAAGGTCGTAACTGCACAATAGCGATTCCCGCTGGTCGATTTCAAGAGAACCAAAATTGAAGGAGTTCACCGAATTCTCCAGGAAAAAAAAACCCGGCGACGGCGGAGGTTGAATGTGCGCGGGACGCGCTACGGGAGGAGATTGGTGGCTAGTGGTAGTGAGGCTAGAATCAACGAAGAACGCGGCGATGCTCATGCCGGAGCGTTGCAAGAACCGCGGCGAAGCGCAACGAGCAGAACATGGGATCATGATAACGGCTACTAGGTGCGAAGTCGTCACGGGTCACGCTCATGTGACAGGCTGATGTTGTGGGCTTGAAATTCTTAGGAGACTGGGATCTCCTCCTGCTGGTACCTTCTATCAGAGCCTTGATGTGAGTGCCTTGGAGTTGCCCAAACATTCTCTCTATTGAATGACTGGTTTCGGATTATGGTTGGTATATGAGTGCACTGTAACGGGTTCTTCATATATTTTAGACCGTAATAAACGTAAACGTAAACCATAGACACTGTACACTTGCGTTTCCGAATTCGCGATTTGATGTTGATAAGTGTAAGGAAAATTCATTTCCTTACTTCGCGCCCCTGATTACCGCGTACATGACTGTTCCCGCCACCAGCACCCAACAGTAAAACGTTACCCGCTCGCGACAGTCGCCTCGACCACTATTCCCGCCACTGTACACCGCGCGACCCAACCTCACGGTTCGGTTGGTAACCCGCGCTCTGGCCCTCCGCCTCGACATTTCCCAACCTTGGCGCTAGGTCCGTAGCGCACCCCAATTTCTCGCGTTACCGTTACCACGGTAGCTTCGCTATATATTCTTCTCTAATGTCTTAGCTCAATGTACCGTTTTGCTTCAACAGTGCAATTCTCGCTCAATCGCTCAATTGCACTCGTAACAATAAGCCTGATGGGTTTTCAACTTTGCAAAAACTGTTACTGTGGCTTGTCTTCTTTTCAGGGACCTTCATTGCTTTCTGCGCACACTTTCCGATGATCCTTGTCTCAGGCGGGAACATTATCATTCAAACTAGGGACTCGGCTCCTCCGCAACTCACGCAAACACTGTTTCCCACAAACAGTCCACAACAACCCATGTACATTCCTGTCCGGGTAAAAACAATAAACCCCCTAAGGAATGGCATCAACCCTAAACACATTGTGGCATAGTGTTTAGGGTTGATGCCCTTATGTAAATTCCACCCGAGAGGGATATAGTTGTTTCTGCCCAGGTAAAAAAATAACCCTCTAGGGAATGGCATCATCCCTAAATTCCTTGTCGCACAGTGTTTAGGGTTGATGCTCTTAAAACAATTCCGCCCGAGCGGGAATTAGGTGTAACTATTGGAATATATATATATATAAATATTCATATGTATATATATCACTACACCTGACCCAAAAAAACTCAAACCCAATCGGAAATGGTTACGACTCGGGGAGGCATCAACCTTAAAGAAATGCCCTTTCCAGTGTTTAGGGCTGATCCCTCCCGAAATTGTGGACAATAAAAAGAGTGCTTGCGTGAGTTGCGGAGAAGCCGAGTCCCTAGTTTGAACGATAATGAGAGAATTGCTCCAGGGCCTTGTTTGGTGATTCGCTTGTTGGGCTGAGAAATAGCCCTAGGTTCTTTCAAGGCTAAGATCAGTTGAAGTAGAGATGTTGTATTGCGGAAGCGTAATATCAAAGTTGCTGAACCACCTTGTACTAGTATGTGAGAACAAGATAAGTTAATAATAGCAGGGGAATACAAAGCTTTTCTATGATTACAAAGGAATATGGAAAGTTCTATTTTAACTGTTTCTGCTGTTGCGGTTCGATACAGTGATGACTCGGGTAACTGCTCAGTATCGAGTCAGTTATGTGTCCTTGCTGTCGCACTGCATTTTTCGTCAGGTCAAAGGTCAGCGACCTTTGACCTTCGCGTAACCTCCAGCGGTTGCTTTGTTGACTCGCGTGTTGCTTCGCTTGTATTCTGCTCCGTTTCGTGTCGATGCTTTGATTACTTCAGAAGCGTTAAGTTATTGTTTCCAACACTCGCCTTCGCTTCTGGAGTATCGCTGCTGATGACGTGTCCTTGTCCAGTCAGCAGCATGCAGTACTCGAACTTCTCTTTTCCGAGTTTCTTGGTCAAGTAATCGGCTGCCATCTCGGATGTGGGACAGTAGGATAATTCGAGTCTTCCCTTCTCGATTTCGTCTTTTACGAAGAAGTACCGGAAGGCGATGTGCTTCGTTCGATTCGCAAACCCATTCTTGTTCGCTATGCGAATGGCCGATAAGTTGTCGCAGAAGAGGGAGAAGCTGGTGTTAGAATCAGGAACGGAATGAATGAACTAGGAAGCAGGTGGGTACAAGTAGGAAACCTAAAAGTGTTGTACCCTATATGAACTACCCCACTACAGCCTAAACAGACTATAGCATATATAAGTTTGACACACCCCCATAGGCAAAGTGGGGGAGAACAAGAGGTCACAAGACCAGTCAAGAAAGACAAAGCAAGCTCAGGGTGGATCACAAAGTCACCACGCAGTCTGAGCACAAGCAAATGGCCACAAGGCCAGTTCACATGCAGAGTTATATATAGGAGAACAAACAATATAGTGAACACAACCTAGCAAGTGTAAGCATGCAGGTATATGTATAGAGAGTACAGTACAAGCAAAGTCAAGAAGTAAGCAAGTGAGGCACAGTAGGTACAAGGCCTAGAACAGTACAGAAACGCTGATGATCACAAGGCTGAAGTGCCTTGGTGAAAACATCAGCAGTGTTGGCCTGAGAGGCCACGTAAGCAAGACGAAGCTGACCACGCTGCTGCAACTCTCGAGCAAGGAAGTAGCGCAGAGCAATGTACTTCGTTCTGTGCTCCAGTCTGTGCTCCTGACACAAAGCCAGCATGGCCTTGTTGTCGACGTGTGGATTGGAGGAGAGCGAGGCGCCTCTCCCAAGTCGGTCAGCAGGTAGGTGAGCCAGCATAACTCCTGTGCAGCCATGGCCCCAGCGTAGATCTCAGCCTCACAACTCGAGCTGAGAACAGAAGAAGAGCGGGTAGACCGCCAAGAGACAGAGCCGGAGCCAAGACTGAAGGTGTAACCATGTGACGACCGCAGCGTAGCCAAGTCGTCAACCCAGGAAGCGTCTGCGTGACCAGTGAGGACAACTCGAGCCCGTCCTCCAAGCACGAGCCCCATGCCCGACGTACTGCACAGGTAGCGCAACACCCTCTTCGCAGCATCCCAGTGCACCTTTCGGTGACGACCAGGAGCCACGTAGCGAGCCAAAAGGCTGAGAGGGTATGCGAGGTCAGGTCGTGTGCAAGTCATCAGGTACATGAGGCAGCCCACAAGCTCTGGATACGGGCCACTCGGCTCTACGGACTCGTCCGAAGGTGGAGCTGAGAGCGAGTGACCAGTAGGCAGAGGAGTGGACTGTGGCGAGGAATACGTGAAGCCGAAGCGCTGAAGGACCTGCTGCACCATGTGTGACTGACTCAAGGTAATGGTGCGCTGTGCTCTGTCCCGGGTGATCCGCAAGCCAAGATAGCTTGTCAGTTCACCCAGGTCTGTGCACGTGTGTCTCTTCTGCAGCTCGGACTTCACGTGGGCGAGTGCCTCAGTGTCAGCAGTAGCAAAGACGAGGTTGTCTACGTACACGAGAACGTAGAACAGCGGCAGAGTGGTGTCAGTGCGTAAAAACAGCGACGGGTCAGCAGTGGAAGGAGCAAAACCAAGAGTAGCAAGAGTCGTCCTGAGTGTGTCGTGCCACTCACGGGGTGCCTGGTGGAGACCGTAGACTGGCCGCCGGAGGCTCCACTGGGTACCAGCAGGA